TGGTGGCTCATCCTTGAGACCGCCGCCGCCCCATCCTGTTGGCCACAACCACATGGCAGCGACTTACTTGACACAGCCCGGCATGCTGATGCCGCTCCGCCCACCGAGGCTGAGAGTCGTGCTTGGTTAGGCGTGCCGGATTGCCAGCCCATCCAAGTCACCACTGGTGGATATGCCATTCACTTGTCAATGTGCAAACCCTTGCGTCTACAGAGGCCGCAGGACATATAGCTATGCCCGACTCAGATGGCTTCGCGGGTAGGGCGGCATTTCTTAGAGAACAGTTTGATCACTACCGAGCGAATGTGATCGCTGTTCAAGAGGCACGGTCCTGCGCGGACCAAACAGTCAACTCCAGCACACATGTCCGTCTGTGTTCCGGGCGTGACACTCATGGCCATCACGGCGTGGAGTTATGGCTATCAAAAAGGTTTGCCATCTCTTCCTGCCAAAGGGACCCCATCTGCGTCCAATTTTCAGACCTGTTAGTTGTCTTTGCGGACCCCCGCACCCTCCTGGTGCGCTTCTGCAGGCGCGGCCTATACAGATTTTGTTTGTGGTTGTGCACGCGCCCACAGCGACGGACTCCACGCGCGACTCCTGGTGGCAAGCCCTGGCCAGCCGTGTGGCCAGGAGCTGCAAAGGATGCTGGGTCACTCTCCTCGGGGACTTCAATGTCCACCTCGGCCGACCAGTTCAGGGATGCATAGGGGACCTAGTTTGGCAGGCTTCCGGCACGGTTCCTCCCGGACTTCTTGAGATTCTGCATCAACAGAACCTATGGATACCGAGCACCTTCACTACCTGCCACAGTGGACCCAGCTATACATGGATCAGTCCCAATGGCCTCCACAGCTCGCGCATCGATTTCATAGCTGTTCCCAGAGGCTGGCAGGCTGCCCCTGACGCTTCCCAAGTCCACACTGACTTGGATTGGGGGCAATCCAACCCTGACCATTATGCCATTCGCCTGGACGTTTCTTTCATCTCCCACCTGCGCTTGGCACCAGACCTCAAGGCGTCCACACTTGATCGCGACGCCATGGCCACTACGGCGGGACGGCAGTGCCTTCAACAAATCTGGAATTCTGCTCCGCTACCACCCTGGCATTGTAATGTCCACCGCCACTGGTCCATCGTGGAATCACATGTCAGGAAGGCTCTTCTTAAATCCTTCCCTTCCAAACGAGGATCCTGTAGGTCCTCGCACTTTGGCACAGATACTTGGCTGATACGGCAGAGACGGGTCTGGTTGCGTCGGCACATCCTCCGTCTCCGGGTGCCCTCTTCCACGGCTGCCCTGTCCATGGCTTTCAAGTGCTGGAGGCTCGGAGAAGTATGCACCAGTCTCCGGCGGCTATGTGCGTGCCTCACCGCTGCTGCCGCATTTCGCGATTTGCAATTGGTAGTTGCCGACCTCAGGGCCACCAAAAGGGAGTTGCGCATAGCCATGCGACGGGACCGTGGCCGTCGAATCGATGAGGCCGCTGCGGCTGCCAACTCTCGGTCCACCTCGGACACTGTCTCAGCGCTTCGGCCTCTTCTTGGCCCTCCTAAGCGTCGAAGCCGTGTCAAACAAAGCCTGCCCCTCGTCCAAGATGAATCGGGCGTCCCTGCCACCACGCTGGAAGAAGCCGAGGACATCTGGGTCAAACATTTTGCTGGAATCGAGGATGGCAAGGTAGTTGCCCCACATGAACTAGCCAGTCGCTGCTTCCAGCGGCAACAAGCCCGGGATCTTGACGATCTCTGCATTCTAAGGGAGGATTTCCCCAGCCGAAGTGAACTTGAGTCCTCCTTACGGGCCACCCGAACTGGTCGTGCCGCCGGTGTCGACAGCCTCCCAGGAGAGTTGCTTCATTTTTCTCCAGCGGCTGCCTCTCGTTCACTTTTCCAGCTAGCCCTAAAAATTGCCATGCGGGCTTCAGAACCTCTGCAATTCAAAGGTGGAGCCCTCCATACGGTTTGGAAAGGACGCCTATCCCCGATGCTCCCTGAAGCGCATCGACTCTTCTTGCATTGGGAAATCCCTGCACCGGGCTTTTCGGTCGCGGGCCACCACTCCCCTTGCCCAGCTCTCCTCACCCCTCCAAATTGGAGGGTTGCCAAAGATGCCAGTCACTTTAGCAGCTCAAGCCATACGCCTTTTCCAGAGTGGGGCCAAGAACAGAAAGATGAGCTACTCGCTCATATTTCTGGACCTCCGCGAAGCCTTTTATCGCGTGCTGCGGCCGCTCTTCGTTGGATCCAGATTTAATGATGAGCACTTTGCAGTCATCGCTGCTCGCTTGCATCTCGCCCCAGACACTCTAGAGGCAATACATCGGCATCTCCGCCCGGAGCCCCTTCCTGCTCAGGCAGGTGCTGCCACTTGGGTTTCGTACGCGTTATCCGAAGTGCTTGACTCGACTTGGTTCAGATTTCGTCAAAGCACAACTACTGTCGAAACTGGTATAGGGAGCCGCCCGGGGGACAACTGCGCAGACATCATCTTCGGGTTTTTGTTTGCATGCGTCCTTCGAGACCTAAAGCAAGAACTCGCACGTCAAGAGATACTTGTCCACCTACCCTGGGACGCCTCCTGGCTCGGCGAAGTCCAACCAGTCGATCTGGCCACTTCCGGGCATGGCTCCCTCCCCATTATGGATTCCACGTGGATGGATGACCTTTCTCTGATGGTCAAAACCACCACAGCCAAGGCCCTTCCCGAAGCCACTGCTAAAGCGGCACAGGCACTCATTGACTGTTGCATGAGCAGGGGCCTCATTCCCAACCTCGCCCGGGGAAAAACGGAGGTCCTAATGGTACCACAAGGGCCCGGCTCCCGGGCAGTTCGTGCCACTGCCTTCAGGGACAAAGACCCATGTCTCCCGCTTCGAACCCAGCACATGGGCGAGGTCAGAGTGCGTTTGGTAGGGCAATATCGCCATCTTGGAGGCCTCATACATCATAGTGGACAGGCTTTGCGAGAGGCCAGACATCGCATTGCTCTCGCGCAAGAGGCCTTCCAGAAGCACAGGCGAAGCATCTTTGAGCACCCTAGCATTGCACTCCAGGCCAAGGCCACGCTCTATGAGACCCTTGTGCTTTCCGTTCTTTTACATGGTGCTGGCACCTGGGTCTCCCCCGACAAAGCAACCCTCCAGGCCCTGTCCCATGCACATGTGCTTATGGTTGCCAAGATGTTGCGACCTCGCCTTTCCTTCGATGCGGCACTACACCAAGGCCCGGATAGAATCCTTGCCCTTGCAGGCATTCCATCGGTTGTCACACTCATGCATGTGGCCCGCCTTCGCCACCTTCTTCCCTGCGTCAATCTCCGCATACCGGAGGTTTGGGCTTTGGCCCACTGGGACGGGTACTGGTTGGCAGACGTCAGGCACTCTCTCACCTGGCTCGCCTCGATCACCAACCCGAAGGGGGGATCGTGGATCCCCCAATGGCAGGAGTGGAAACACACAATGGAGAACCATCCGGGCAGGTGGAAGGCTCTTCTTCGTCGGGCACAAAAGAAGGCACTCCAGCAGGAGACCTGGGATTCACTACGTCAGTATAGTACAGGCCTTCTTTCCCGACAGCTCACCGCAATGGGCGGTGTGCTACATGGCACGGTACTAGACACTGCCCAACGCAGGCAATGCTGTGTGCCATGCAGGCAGGTCTTTGCCAATTATAACAAGTGGTCACTGCACGCCTTTAAGAAGCATCAGAAATTGATGCAAGGACGTGGAATACTTCAAGGGCAACAGTGCCAGGCGTGCCTCCGGCATTTTGGCACGAATGTTCGGCTTTGCAGGCACCTTCGCTTCACGCCAGCCTGTCGCCTTGCCCTCCAACAACAAGGGTATGTATGCACACCTGAGCCCGGGGTGGGTAACAAAAAGGCTGCTGATGCTGGAGCCACACAGGCACCGGTTCTGCAAGCTCAGGGGCCCCTGCTTCCCATTGTACACCCTGACAGATCCCAGTGGATAGAGGATCGCCACACCCCAGTTGCCGAGATCCTGGACTGCCTAGGCCATTTGGACTTTGACGGCCAAGTTGCCACTTTGCCAACATCCTCCCTTTGGACACGCATCCGTGAAGCACTTGGGTGCACCTGTGCACCCACAGAACGCATATGTGCTTCGATCTCCACCTGGAGTTCCCGCCTCGTTGACTTGGCACCTCCCGTACGGGATCGTCTGGCTCCTTGTGCTTCGTGGCTCTTGCAAGCCGATCTGGTCGAGTGGTTGGTACCAGATCCGGCTGTTGCCACACCGGTTCTCTGCACATTCAGGGATGCTGAAAGTTCGCTTTGCATGCTGGATACCGCACCCATCTCTCTACCAGCACCTCCGGCCGATCTCTCGATTCCCTTTTGTGTTGTCGCGCCTGCGAGTTGGGAACCTAAAGCCCTACGTGCCTTTGGCGAGCGTCTGGTCTTCTTTGCCCATGATGAATGCCTGGCCACCATCGCCACAGGTTCCCTACCCTCCTTCTTTGACGGGCCTTTTGACGAGGTTGGTTTTGTCCTCATCACAGAGGGTCTTCCCACCTACCTCGGTGCTGCACCCGATCGCCTATCCGAACAGTCCTTTCAGAGGCACTGCGCTGCTGCCAGCCTCGCTAGTGACTTGCTCCGGCTTTCGGTGCGCCTCTTTGGACTTGGAGTTCCAGCGGCCTTGGTACTACCGGCGTGCCTTGATCCCTGCTCCCAAGCCGTCCTGGGCCTACCTGATGCTCGTTCCTCACAGAGTACCTCCACCCGTGTCATTTTTCGACACGGCGAGCTCGGGGCCCTTGTGTTTCACCATTTTCTTAATTAGGGATGCAAGCAAAGGGCTGCGTCCATTCATTGGATCACTCTGCCCGAAATGCGAGAAATGCGAGCGAGATGGTCGTCCCTGACGCGGGGGCATCTCAAACCGCAAGCCCGGACCACAAAACAACAACTTATCAAGCCTAAACCGACAAGCACTGCACTCCCGGAACTTGTGCCCAAAGCTGGCCGGGTGTGCACGGATCCAGGGCGGGTCTTCTTCCTCAGCGGTGGGCAGACAGGATTTAAGAAATCCCCTTTAGGGACTTTAGGGTTTAGAGTTTCAAGTTCTCAGGAAACGCAAGACGCCAAAAATGAAGCCGTTTTCTATGAGCTTTGCAGACGAAGACTGTCCGTTCGGCCATGAGCTCGAGTGTCCTAAAAGATCGGCCGAACAACAAAATTGAAAACCTCACACCCGAAGTCGGACCTTCAGAACAGTTTGCACGGAGGTTTCTGATCTAGCGCTTCTACCTTCAAAGGGCCCAAGTACACAATACAAATACCTGATTCTTGACCCGTGGGGCCTTTCCTTTACCCCCTTCTACGCAGGGTATCCTCAAAGAGCCTCAGCACCACCCTTGTCCTTTTAAAAATAATAGACAGAGCCCTATACCTATATCCCTTAGTAGGAATCATTTAATTTAAGAAGGCAAAAGGTCAAGGCGGCTCAGCACCAGACGCTGCCACTCGACATCGTCGGCCGACTTGGTGCAATGTCGACCAGCCGAAGGCAGTGCACGTCATCCTCTGATGGGGGGTTTCAGATTCTTGGGGTAGGGATTCCTGAATATGAACCCTATTATCGGAACCCTAATCCCTACTAAACCCCACAGGCTAAAACCGCTTTTGGCCTCCAATGAATCCTCGACCGCATGACTGGTGGGCCCAGGGCGCGGTAAGGTCTAGGATCTGGGAGTCATGGATTTCGGGTGTGGGGTTTGAGGGTTCGAAGCTTACGATTTCCACTCAGCGGGTTTGGAGTTTAGGGTATGCAGCTCAGGGCTCGACATTCAGGATCCGAGGCTTTGAACATCTGTACTACTTCTGAGTGTGTAAATTGTTCGGCAAGCCGCTTGAATGATCGTCTGCTTATGCATCCCGGTATGAGGTCCCGGGTCTTGGCCATCCTTTTGGAGCTCGTTTTCTCCTTTTTCTCAAAGGGGAAAAGGAGGGACCTTTAATGGGGACCCCTACCCTATAACGGGCTACATAATGGGTATACTAGCTATATTAAGGGTATATACCTAGGGGTCCTTATTAAGGGTCCCTCCTTTTACCCTTGGATTTTCAAGTGAAAACAGACCCAAGCCCTAAACCCTAAACGACAGAAGCAAAAGGATGCCTTAATTGGAACAAGTTGGAGTATGCTGCAGGGAGGCACAAGGGTCCAACAGTACCCCGGCACTCCCAACCACCATGGTCTAGGGGCCTTCACAATCAGACAAGGGTCTTGTGGTATGCTACGTATAGTAGAGTATGTCATAATATAGGGGCCTGTTTAAGTTGAATGAGGCTTGGGATACCTTATAATATGGTGGTTGTCCTCTAGGAACCGAAAGGAATAGTCTACTTAGTGTAGTAAGGAGCCCTACGGAACAGCATTGACACACATGATGTGACCCTAAACCCTAAACCCCTAAACCCGAAACCCTAAACCCTAAGAGAGGCTCATAGGTCTAACAGACCCCGGCACTCCCAAGGCACCGGTATTCTCGTTGAACCACAGCCCTGCCGTCCTTAAGCCCTAAAGCCACAAACTCTCAAACAACATCTGCCTGAACCCTATCCCCTCTGAAAACATGCCGTCACACCTAAACCCTTCGCCCTTGTACCCGGCCCTATAGTAGACCCTGATACCCTAAACCCTAAGTCCTAAAAGCCTGAACCGCTCTACCCTGAAGCGGCATCCCTATAAACCCGTTGCTCCATACCCTAAACCTTCATGCGCAGAGCCCTAAAGCCCAATCCCTAAACCCATAGTACTCTGGTTGGCATATTAGAACCCTGAGAGGAACCTTCAAGCTACCCTCTCAATCTAACCCCTAAACCCCAAACCCTGAACCCTTATACCCCCAACCCTAAACCATCCTAAACACTGACATCCTGAACCCCGAGCCCCAAACTCCCTAAGCCCCAAAGTCGAAGCCCCAAGCCCGAAACCCTTGTACCCCGAACGGTAACCCTACACTCCAAACCCTGAACCCCAAACTTCAACGGCCCCAAAACCCAAACCCTCATTCTCCAAACCCTCAACCCGAGACAGCCGTGAATAAACGAACCCTACCCTAAACCCGAAACCCCCAAATCCTGTGCCCTGACTTAGTAACTGTTTATTTTAGGGACTTGTAAGTACCATAACCCCAATTAGGGTCCCTTTTAGGGTACTTATAAGTCTACTTACTACCTACTTACTAAGTCCCCCGACCCTCCAAGTAACCCCCCGGAGGCCCCACAAGTCCCCTAAGCCCTAACGGTGACGGTCTTCCCTAAAGCCTAAACCCAAATCCCGTGCCCTGCAGACAGGGGATCCTCCGCTGGTGGAATCCAGCAGTCAAAGGCGGCCTCCGGAATCAACGAGCGCCAGCAGAGAACTCGCAGGGTTTAGGGTTTAGGGTCCTAAAACCTGCTACTATGGGGGCCTCAGAAATTTTAATAGGGTTTGGGGGCCCGTACTACTATATTTATGCTAAGGAACCCCCAAAATAGTATGGGTAATTATTTAGGCCCCTATATCACCCTCTTTCGTGCTTCGGGCTTACGGCTCGAGGGTTTTCAGCGGTTGATAGCGCTGATCTTGAACCTGGGCCCCCTCGTTGGCCCAAAGCCCAAGGGCCAGGGGTCCCAAGTACGTCACAACCATGCGATGCCGCAGAAGCTAACCCAGAATTGAGGAGTTCCTGGATTCAGATTAACCTTTTAGGGTTTAGGGTTTAGGGTTTAACCCTGAATAACCTACCTATTTTAAGGACTTGAATAAGGAAATCATAGTAGGAAACCCTAAAAAGGGTAGGTTCTTCAGGGTCAAGGAAAAGCTTAAGGGTGAAAAGTCACCACCATTCTTCCTGCAGACACCGAATAGCAGGTAATGTAGGAACCTGATTGAGAAACCTCGAGCCTTTATTGAGTTTTTTATAGGAATCCTATTCTGTTGGGGTTATAAGCCCAGGGTTTCTTTATCAGGTTCCGACATTATATACTCTGGCTTCAAGGATTGTGGCTTGGATTCCGAGGACCGCAAAAGCGGGGGGCTCAAGACAACCCTGTGCCCACAGATCCGAATGTACACAGGGTGCCAAAATCCAAAAATAAAACGTATGGCGTGACCCGAAACCGGAACCGAACCACTCCGGGTAAAGCCCTACCCACAAACATAGGATCGAGATACGCAGGGTCGGCCGGGGGACACCCTTTCGGACCCTGTTTGGTGGGTCCGAAAGGGTGGTTCCCAGGGTCTCCCGTAGATCTGGCCGGACCCTTTCGGACCCACCCATTCGGACCCTGCTGGTAGTCATTGAGTCTGCGTCGGGCTCGGCTTGAATTTGGGTATGGCTCAACATAGTTTTCATGATATTCAGCATGGTTTCCGCATATATTTTTCCAGCACCCACGCAGAAGTTCACAGAAGTAGCAGGCAGCGGGCCTCGGGACAAGGCGCACACTCAAGCTTCCCAGGCCGTGGTTGTTTGCTCGGGTTCCTACCTAAGTTCGCGGGGCCTGCGCAAAAGCATCCAGAAACTCAAAATCCAGAATCCTTGGAAGAGCCCCTGAACCCATAAACCCCGAAACCCAGAAATTATTAACCCTTATGTCGCTTATGTCCCGCAGTAACCCAAAACCCCAAACGCAGAAACCCTAAACCCAGAAAGCCCTTGAACCCAGATACCCACCAAGCCCCCAAACGCAGAAGCATTGTACACAAGCGCCTGAACTCAGAAACTGAAAACCCAAAACCACTGAACAGAGGAACCGGTGAACGCAGAAACCCTACACCCAGAATCCCAGAAACCCTGAGCCCATATCCCAGAAACCCTAAACCCAGAATCCCAGAAACCCTGAGCCCATAGCCCAGAAACCCTAAACCCAGAAACCCAAAACCTTGTGCTCCAAACCCTTGAACTCAGAAGCTAACAACCAAGAACACCTAAACCCAGAAGTTCTGAACCCCCAAATCTGCGAGTAAGCCCAGAAACCCTGCACGCAGAAACCCTAAACCCAGAAAACTCCTGAAGCCAGAAATGCAGAACCCAGAAACCGCAAACCCCGGAAGCCGCAGACATCATAACCTGAAACCCAAAATCACCGAACCGAGAACCGCTGAACCCAGAAACCGCAAACACCCAAACACAGAAACCCTGTAGAACCCAGAATCCCTAAGCCCTTAAACCAAAACCTTAAACCCCTGGACGCTGCACCGAAGCACAATAGCGGCTTGAAGCAAGTCACATGTCGTGCTCGAATCGAGTGGCCGACATGCCGACGCCACAGGGGCGACGCCGGGCGTCGCAACAGGAATCCACCGAGCGGCGCCCGGCGTCACCCCGCTCCCACAGGTGTGGGCGACGCCGGGCGCCGCTCGGTGGATTCCTGTTGCGACGCCCGGCGTCGCCCCTGTGGCGTCGGCATGTCGGCCACTCGATTCGAGCACGACATGTGACTTGCTTCAAGCCGCTATTGTGCTTCGGTGCAGCGTCCAGGGGTTTAAGGTTTTGGTTTAAGGGCTTAGGGATTCTGGGTTCTACAGGGTTTCTGTGTTTGGGTGTTTGCGGTTTCTGGGTTCAGCGGTTCTCGGTTCGGTGATTTTGGGTTTCAGGTTATGATGTCTGCGGCTTCCGGGGTTTGCGGTTTCTGGGTTCTGCATTTCTGGCTTCAGGAGTTTTCTGGGTTTAGGGTTTCTGCGTGCAGGGTTTCTGGGCTTACTCGCAGATTTGGGGGTTCAGAACTTCTGGGTTTAGGTGTTCTGGGTTGTTAGCTTCTGAGTTCAAGGGTTTGGAGTACAAGGTTTTGGGTTTCTGGGTTTTGACACTCACACTCGGGCAAGCCTGGCGAGGTCTGTAGCGATTAAGGACGAACATACAGGATCAACTTCAAGCCGATTTCACTTGAAGCCAGGCTGTTCATGCCAGGGTTTCTGGGCTATGGGCTCAGGGTTTCTGGGATTCTGGGTTTAGGGTTTCTGGGATATGGGCTCAGGGTTTCTGGGATTCTGGGTGTAGGGTTTCTGCGTTCACCGGTTCCTCTGTTCAGTGGTTTTGGGTTTTCAGTTTCTGAGTTCAGGCGCTTGGGTACAATGCTTCTGCGTTTGGGGGCTTGGTGGGTATCTGGGTTCAAGGGCTTTCTGGGTTTAGGGTTTCTGCGCTTGGGGTTTTGGGTTACTGCGGGACATAAGCGACATAAGGGTTAAGAATTTCTGGGTTTAGGGGTTTGTGGGTTCAGGGGCTCTTCCAAGGATTCTGGATTTTGAGGTTTTTGGATGTCTCTGGATTTTGGTGTATAGGTTTCAGGGTTTAGGTTTTCAGGGTAAATGTTTTGTACCACTCGCCAGCACACCTATTCTCTCATATTCTATGACCCCCATACAAGGCACTCCGGGGGTCTACAAGGTATTTCAATGCCTAGTGCCCCCCCCCGTCAGCCACCCCCCAAAAGGCATTCTTTCGGTGCGGTGATACCGCAGGACTACCGCAGGCAAGTTAAATCTGGTTTTAACTGGCTTGCTTTTCTAATATCTGAGGTAGGGTCCGAATGGGTCGGGCGACCCTTTCGGACCCTGTTCCCAAGGGTACCCAGGGCCACCCTTCCGGACCCTGGATAAATCGAGGGTATCCACAAACTACAAGACCCTCCAACCTACTTGCTAGTAGCACCCAAAACCCCAAATCATGGTCAAGTCTTGAACCCCCCAAAGCTGCCAAACTGTTATAAACTGTTGAAAAACAAATAATTTTACGTACAAGCCTTATTACATCCCATGAGGGCTCTTCACAACTTTATACCCTCAACCCTAAAGCTCAAATCTTAAACACCGAAGGCGACACCATTAACGGTAAACCCTACCTAAAGTCTAATCTCCAGGAGACGAAAATGGAGCATCCTCATTCCAGTACCCCAACAACTGTGAAGATCCACTGTCTCAAAAAGCCCACAAAACACAATAACACAGCCTGTGCAAACCCCAAAACAGTCCTGAGACAAACCTCTATGACACCGAATACTAACCCGAAGCCCTCAGGAACCGTAAGAAGCCCCAAGAAACCCTAACATGCCAAGAAGCCCCCCAGGGGCCTGCAGGGCATCAAAGGTCTGCTGGGATCCCGTCAAATCGGTGAGGTTGTTGCGCTCAAACTGAACCTTTGGGGCTCTCTGTAGAGGCTCCTTGCCAAAACCCCCAAAAGTACGCAAAGCAATGGCCCAACATTTGGGGTACAGGTACATGTTACACAGGTTTTGGTTTCTTGGGTTTCAACTAACAAAGCATAGCAAAGCTCTTCAGGTTTGGGTGCTTTTGAAATTTTCCAGGGCCGAGTTTTGGTATAATCCCTGGCCGGGAGCTTTATCTTAGGGGGGGGGCGTGTAATATTAGTGGGAAGGGAAATTGTTCGGATGTGAAGGGCATATTCTTCCCAGATATTCAGACCGCTATACTAGAAAATGGGCTTTCTGAGGGTTTCGGTAGTAGGGCTTCGGGGGTAATCCTGTAGGACTAGCGACGAATGGTCTCCTGAAGTTAGCAGGCTTCGCCCTTCGTAAACCCTGAAAGGCTCTATAACAGTTTTAAGGGGTTTGGGAGTTCCAACTCTAAACTTGTGCCCTTAATCTGAAGTGCCGCGTATTGGATGTCGCGGATGTGCACTCGCTGCCTCAGAATGGGAGAGTTGATGGTTCACGCCCGGGGTTCATTCCCAAAGCACTGGATTCGGGTGATTCGAGATACCTAGGTTAACCTAGATACGTCCATGAAGGAAGTCGACGAAATATCACCGTAATAACCCAAGCCCAACCCCGAACCCAAACGAGAGACCCTCGTCCTCGAAATATGAACCCTGAAATCATGGGATCCTAAATCCCTATACCCTACCTTAACCCTGCATAACCTACCTTTTTCGGGTTCCCTACTATGATTTCCTTATATAAGTCCTTAAAAAGGTATAAATCGCTGAGGGCCCCGGCGCGGTCAGGGAAAAAACCGACCTCTTCTCCGTAGCGCAACATCTGAGCAGACCGGGTTTTCTCATCTTCCTAAACCCTCAGCACCGAGCCCTAAACCCCGTACCCTAAGCCCTAAAGGGTCTAGGAGAGGAATTAGGTGTTTAGGGTCTCTTTTTGGGGTAGAGGGTTCCTTTTCAATGCTCTTTGAAAGGTTCGATGGGGCTTTCAAGCTTGGGGCTGGAGTTTTAAGGCCCAAGGTTTTGGGGCTATAAGGTTCAAGGTTCAGGGTTTGGGGCAACGGGCCTTCGAGTATAGGCTAGGGTTTCAAACGTCGCTCCTGTCTTGTGTTTGAGACGGTGCAGTGTGGAAGGGTTTTCAATCGACTTGAAGTAGAACAGTGTTGCGGGGTTTCGGGCTTAAGACTCCAACGACCATCTGACCCAGACAATTCCAAAGTCGCTGCTCGAAAATCAAGCATCTGAGCGGCCGGGCCCGTTGTTGCTTGCGAGCAACGGCAGCGCCCGGAGACTCCTGCTTTCCGAGTGTGGTGGCGCCGATGAGGCCGTTCACCTCTTGCCCCAGAAGGTGAAGAAGATCTTCCGACAAAGGAAGCTGCAGGAGCCCCGGGGGAGGTACTCGACCTCCCCCTGAGGCGTACAAGACAATGCAAAGTTCCGGGATGCCTGCCGAAGCTGAGTTCGGCGTGAGGCCCTGTATGTGGCCTTCAATCATGCCCCAAGATGAATTGGCGCTTGCCATCACCCGAAGGGCTGCCTGATACTTACTCCTCTTGTCTTGCCTGAGGTTCTTCGCACTGATGGTTCCGTAGAGGCACCTCGCCGTGGCGAAAAGGATGAGGGCCGCCGCGGCTCGGCTCCCTCGGGGATCAGCCCGGAACTCAGCCAGCAACCATTGGCGGACGAGTGCCGGGTCGCCGCCTTGGTACAAGTATGCTGATGACACCGGACTCTCTGCCAAGTCAGCAATGATCTGCTTAAATCCCTGAAGTGCAGTCATCGCTGCCGCCATTTCGACCAGATCGAACTTCGGAGAACGAGACACGAAACCACCCAGACGCCGTCTAGTTTACGGTTTAGGGTCTTCAACCTGTCTAAGATTACCGTAGCGGTTTAGGATCTGTCTGCACAAAGGGCTCAGAGGAGCCTAATTAATGTTGAAAAAGTAGGGTTTCGCAGAGTCATAAGGGTGCTCCAAGATGTTATGACCCCAAATGACCATGACTCCATGTCCCCGTCCCTGTATACTTTGGCTCTAAAGGGGTTTCTATGCAAGCACTGCAAGGCGAATGTACACACTATCTAGGTACAAAAAGCTAAGAAACTACTGACACCGTGTAAACCATGTCCGGCCTGGTGGCATTTCGCACTTCGTCAGCTTCATCAACTTTGCGTCTTTGCAGAAGGTGGTTCCCTATAGCCCAAACTCTCTAGAAGTTGATGTGTCGCAGGGTTTAGGGATGTAGGTTTCGGGGTTCTGCGGTATCGGACATCGAAGGGGCAGCGCGCTTCAATCCAGGAGGACCCTGAAACATGAAACCCTAAAGCTCTTAAACCCGACACCTCAAAGCCGTGAACTCTAAAGTGCTGGAGGCCTAAACCCATGCCTGAGGCCTCTCAGAGATTCCAGAACCCTTAACTAAAGAGTATACCTTAACATGATGGTAGGATCCCGAAAAAACCTAATATGATTTAAAATATAATCCTCAATTAAGGCGTATTGGAGTCTCTCGGAAGATGCGGCGCTTTTAAATGCTACCTTGAGAGTTATACCGTTTCTCTTTACCCGCACATATCTCCTGTAAAAAGCAATGGAAGCCCGTAAAGGGTGCATGACCCTTTAGGTCCCACATGAGACCTTGCAAATCTAAGTAAGACCTTCTGACCCCCTGAAAGCCATCTTAAACCACATATGAAGCCCTCCGTAAACCCTAAGACTAGGCTGTTATCAACACTCTATAAACCCTGATACGCAACTATGAAGATCTAAATAACCCTTATTCTTTTCGTAGACGCCTGATTTAGCCCTCTCCCAGTGCCTGTCGCAAAATCAATGCGTCCAAGCCCTCGGTGTCGATCTTCAACAATCGGAGGCTCGTGACCTAAGCGAGAGGCTAACCCAAAGGTTCTTTTGGGGCTTACAGGGCTTAGAGGATGGCTGTACGAATAAGTTTGGAGTCTTTGGTGGCTAAAGCTTGCAGGTGTTTTAGGGTTCGGACTTAATCGTCGTGGTTAGTTTTGGGTTTGGGGTTTCGGCCTTGGGGTTTTGATTAGCATTCATACAAGAGTTTCTTACATTTTTCTTACAAGTTTTCGTAGGATTTGTTCATACAGGTTTTAAACTGGTTGGTACAAGGATGCCAGTGGTGTCTATGAACGTGTTTCAAGGTCTTATGGTGGTTCGCACTGGGTGATTGTGAAGGCTTTGTAGGTCTCTGAAACCTTCTCAAAAAGACGACGGAAGCCACGGTTGCCGGGCCCAGGTTCGTCGCAATGGATACACCCTACATATGTGCGCTTGTCAAAATTATGGTCCCTTTTTGGGTGCCCTAAATATTAGGTGTTGTATTATAAATAGGACCCAAAGGGTCCTTAATGTAATACGACACCTACTATTCAGGGTCCCCAAAAAGGGACCTAATTTTGACAACTACCCATATGCTTACCTAGCATAGGTTGCCATGAAGTGCTTCCTGTAATAGTACGTTTACGCGGGACTTTTTGAAGGCTTGAACTGTGTATACGGCTATCCAGAACCCGAAACAACAAACCAAACACCCCCTGTAATGAACCCTCAACGTAACCCCGTGTCGGATTCACTGGGCCTTGGAATCCTGATACTAGGACACAGCCTTGGCCCGTCACGTTGTATCTCTCCATCAAGGACCTGCCCGAACGGGTTGACTCAGGTTGTGGCTTGATACTGCCCAGACCGCTGCCTGGTTTCATATGCTTCGATTGCAACCTTTGATTGAATTTCTTTTGTCATCTGTAAAGCTCCAAAAAGTCAGGTTTGGTTTGTGCTCAACGATCTGGTAGGCAGCTCCTGATACAGCCCCTTGTACCCGAATGACCTGGCATCCGTCGCGCCTAGAATCTAGAAAGACATCGCCAGACGGCATGTGATGTACAAGCTTCAGAAGGCCCGTAAACACAAGGATCTCCAAGTTAAGCCTCCTGGAATCACATGCAATTCTTCATACCCCAAACCCTAGGATCCAAGGGTATAAGGAGGGACCCTTAATAAGGACCCCTAGGTATATACCCTTAATAGCTATTATATACCCAATATACCCATTATATAGCCCATTACAGAGTCGGGGTCCCTATTAAGGGTCCTTCCTTTTCTCCTTTGATAGGATCGTCACATTTGGGGGTCCTTTGTAAACGGGCGATTCTCCGGTGGCACCTGGAAGCCTCACCGCTTTGGGACTCGAGACATGCAACCCCAACAGCGTGAGTTGCCGCAAGATTCGTGTGTATATATATAACAGATATATAGATATATATAGGTTATAGGTATATAGACATATAGACATAAAGATATGTAGATATGTAGGTATACAGATAAAAGCATGTGTACATGTAGACATGTAGATATATAGATATATGCATGTGTACATGCACTGCTGCAACAGAAGTCGCCGTGTGCATACATGCACTTCATAATGTTACAATGGTGTACACGAGAAGACATATACACATGCATACAGTGCATACACATATAACTGTGAAGGTTAATCGTAAGCAATAGAAATAACAACGCTCATTACTAACAGAAAACAGTAGCAACAAGGATAGCGATAGTAAGACCACTAAACAACAACAAGTCTAAATGTGTGCCTGCGTGTATACGGATACATAAACAGAGTACATTTCACATGTCCCCAGAGGAAATCTTGCGACCTGAGCCCTACGGCCCTACACCACCCTACCCTAAACCCATCCTTCGACATGCCTCAGAAGCCCAGTGACAAAAAGGAGAGGGTAGGGCTTAAGGCTTACGGTTTATCGGGCTTAGGGTTTAGGCCACGGGTATTGAAGGTTTATTCCTTGCTTTAAGGAGTCTAGGTGCGCCACATTACCGCAAGTCTCAAATGCGCAAACGTCTGCATAAACATCGAGGCATCTTCCCAAAGCTCTGCATCTATCTTCTGCAGCTCTTTCCTCAGATCGAACAGTCAAGAACGAGTACCCCAACAACCTATCCAGGCTCCGTTGGCCGCGAAGCATCAGCAACAAAAAGCCGGAATCTGAATCCCCAACCCCAACTAACTCTTCCAAACATCCTCAGCTGACGAATACCCGTAACGAAAGGATCGGGGAATATCTCAGCGAACCCGAAGCCCAAAGCCCCTTCGTCAACGGCAACATGCCCCGGCGCCTGTAGGTGAGGGTCTGGACTTTGACCACCATCTGGGCCTGGAAAAACCCTGAACCCATAAACGCCAAACCCCCAAACCCCTGAAGCCCCGAACATCTAAACCCCTAAACCCTGAACCTCTAGACCCTTCGCTCGAAATCCGCAAACCCTGTATGGAGGTCTTAAATAAACAAAAAAAACAATTATGTCCCTTTAAGGGTTCTCTCAAATAGGCTACGTCCGGCTACGTATAAATAATCAGGGATCCGTACTAAGGGTTCAGGGGAGACAGTGCCTAAGGAAGCCATCTACCCGGACCCTCACAATGAAAAGGCAGTGGCTGTGCCCACCATTCAGTCATGTTTGTCGTGGAGTCTTGTGGTGCTGGAGATGTGTTTTTCCACAACTGCAAGGTCATCTCGTCGGAAGCCTTCCTCCACCTCCAGCTCATTGCCTGGACGCAGTCTGCGTGTTGAAGCAGGCCTGAATGAGCATGCTGCGCAGCCGGAAACAACCCACAACTGCAACGTCATGAAGCTCCAATGCCCCAAGGGTCTCAAAGGAACCAATAGTCAGGTACTCGGTTTTAGGATAGTAGTTATGTAGGTTAGGATTTGGGAGAGTATATGATTATTAGGTACTTGGACCCTTGGGAATGCACCAAGGCACAGGCGCTGGTCCAGGTGATCCTCCAGCTGGGTGGTTGTCCAAATTATTGCCGTTTTTTGGATACTCTAAATAATAGGTGCCGTACTATAATAGGGACCCCAAAAGGGACCCCAATTTGGACAACCACCCAGCTGGAGAACCGCTCCGGCTCTTCGGGCGGGTTTTGTTCGAGTGCCGCCTGTTCTCTAATCCGATGCTGGGCTGTCTGTCAGGCAAGTCATGGTCGAACCAAGCCCTATGTAAACCTTATAAGCCCCTAAACCCTAAACCCCTGAGACCTACTTTCAGGTTGCAAGTTTGTGTCGTGGAACCCTCTAGGGAGGTCTGCACCCCAGGGAAACTCTGTGCCAATGTTTGCGGTGCGGGAGCAGAACCTTGTCTTCTCCCTACTGTTATACATACGTAAGGCTAAGATGGAAATACTGCAGATTAAACTACTAAATCATGCGTCTCTGTATTCCAATGGAAGGGAATACGAACTTGTGCTGTGGAATTTTTTTCGCAGAATTTACGGTTCAGGGTGTTCCAGTGTTCATCTAAGTCTCGGGCTCAGGGGCTGTAAACGCCTAGCGTAAACCCCGTACCCCAAAATCCAAAACTCTGGGGTTGGGTTTAGAACTACATCCTAAGCCATATCCTTAGACCTGAGTCCACCCTGAAAGGAGGATGTCTTCCAGCGCCTTAAATTATTAGAATAAGACCCGGGGGACATATTGTGGTAGGCTTGAACATGGAACACTATAACCCTATATGCTAATGAATACAATTAGTGATGCCCCTGTTAGTATGGGGCTCTGGACCCTGAAGCCCCGAAACTCACTCAAGTTGAATCCCGGTGGGCCCTTCATATAGGTAGAACAAATTCCTTGTTAAAAGGCTCATGGAGGTCTCTCGGCCCTTCAAAATCCTCTTGGCTCAAGGGGGGTCTCTCGGCCCTACGCGTGCCGGGAGAGCTAGGGCGTCGAGCTTGAGTTATGTGGCTGCTACGTGTGGACCGTTCGACCACCACGGGATGCACAGAGAGACTTCCTTTCGATGAGCTTTCTGGAGGTCTCTCGGCCCTTGATATAGGCATGACAATTTCCGTTCGAGCGGCTTCTGAAGGTCTCTGGGCCCTTTCATATAGGAAGAACAAACTCCGTTCGAGAGGCGTCTGGAGGTTTCTGGGCCCTTCGTACAGGTAGACCAAATCCCCTTTCAATCGATCACTGCAGGATGCAGAGAGAGATGTCCTTTCCGGGGGGCTCCTAGAGGTCCGTCAAATATCTGTAACAAATTCCTTTCCGAGAGGCCCCCGGAGGCCTTTGGGAATTACCTTCTGAGAGGCTTCTGGAGGTCTTTGGGCCCATCACATAGGTAGAACGAATTCCTTTCGAGACGCTTCTGGTCTAGGTAGAACAGATTCCGTCTCCCGGGCACGGCAGTATATGTCCTTCCGTTTTCGGCGCAGCTCTCGCAGAGTCACGCCGCGTGGGCTGCTCAATCAGTTTTCGTCAGGCAACTCACCTCGGCGGCCGGAGACGTGCATTGCATACGCGCTTTGCATGTACGCATCGCATGCTGAGACGGTCACCACGAGCTTCAAACATCCGGCAAGTGCTTGTACACATCGGCGTTTGCCTGCAGGCATTGCCATATAAATCGTTCTCCGAAGGCTCCCTGGCTCTATCTCACGACCGAGGCTGCGGCGCCGAGGACGAGTTTGTCTGGCAGCGCGCATTCCCAGGCTTGACTTTGCGCGCCTGTCACGCAATTGACTCACAAGCATCACGCTTTCTGTTTTCCACTGGAGTATTCTGAGCTGCAGACTCACCACGCGGCCATGTTGGTTGATGGCCAGTATGTTCGGCATGCCCTTCTGTGTTCTTTCCCGCCGTGGACTCTGGGTGATGACCCGCGGCCCTGGCGGCCCCATCGGCTGCGTGGCGCTGATCAAGTGCTCCTCCACTACCTCGGCCTCACCTGCAAGCAAGATCTGACACGTTTGCCAAGCACTTCCCGAATCCTGCAAGTATCCCGACGATTCGACCTTGCCTTGACGCACGTGACCCTGGCACCCGGGCAGATGATCTCCAACAGCACTGCCGGCTCTTCTTTCCTGAATGTCTCGAGCGGTGTTTGTGCGTGTAGGCGGTCGTAGAATAACGACTGAGGCTTGGGCTTCTCTCGCATGCGTCGACGCTTGTACCTGGTCCGGTAGACTGTTGCCGCTTACGTTTCTTTTGGCGTTGCGCTCGGGGCCAGGCGGACCCATTACCGGAATCTTCCAGCACGCTATTGCGGGCCGGTTTCTAATCTCAGGGGTATGCAGGCAGGTTTCGCATGGAGACCGGGCGGAGTGGCCAAGGCTGAGAAATCCAAACTGTTCCACGAACTTGTTGTCGCGATGCTCCGATGTAGCTGCCGGTCTCTTGCTGAGGATTTCTGAAGGTGCACGCTCAAACCTACTCACGGTAATAACCGAGCCGAAAGATCGGTACGCGGTATGCTGTTAGAACGACGCCCGAGTGCTGGTGTTCTGTCCGCTCACTGTATAGGAGAAACGGCTGGTCTGAAGATGGAGTTTGCTATTCCCCTTCGCTAGGCCCTCGGGGCTCAGATTTCTGAGCCCTATGAGCCACAAGCTCTCAGAAGTTGTTGCAGCCCCGCCAATGCTAAATGTAGGGTCCAGGACCTCGGATTTAGGGATTCGCGGCCTAGAGTCCCAGAAGCCCTTGAAAGCACCCCTCTTAAAACAGGGTACTCTCAAGTCCAAGTCCGTAAGCCTAAAGAACCTACAACTTTAAATTCTCGGAAATCCACACCCAAAAAACCTGAAACCCTAGAGCCCTAAACCAAAAACCTGAAAACCAAAATCCCAAAGCCCTGAACCCCAAACCCCGAAACACTAAACCCCCAAACTACCGCTTTTGTACCCTCTAAAGGAACCCTAAAGCCGAAATCTTTAAAGAACCCTTAAAGGAACCCCTATAATACCCTCTGATGACCGAACCCTAAAGCCTAAAGTATTAAAGAACCCTTAGAGGAACCCTTAAAATACCCTCTAATAGAAAAACCCTAAAGCCAAAAGTCTGCCTTCAACCCTATTATAGACCCCTTATAGCCCTTTTTTTCAGGAACCTCTATGATACTCTTTAAAGGAACCTTAAAGCCTAAACCCAACACCTTACTCAAGCCCTAAACCCACAACCCAAGAGCCCTAAACCCCAAAAAAACACCCAAAACCCAACAACCCAAAAGCCGAAAGCCATCTAAAGCCCAAGGCCCAAAACCCCATTCTAATTATGAAGGCACTTTTATGACCTAAACCCCCCAAAATCCTCACACCCCGAATCCGAAAGCCCCGACATCGAAGCCTGAGCCCTTATAGTACCCTTATAGTACCCTTTTAAGGAACCCTTATAGAACCCTTTTAAGGAACCCTTATAGTACCCTTTTAAGGAACCCTTATAGAACCCTTTTAAGGAACCCTTATAGCACCCCTTAAGGAACCCTTATAGCACCCCTTAAGGAACCCCTATAGAACCCTAATTAAGGCCCAAGGTTGCTGAGCCAAAAAACTCGCGGGCCGCCTCAGCGGCTTTCTCGGCCGCATGGACGTCCACAAGGCTCGAGGGCCTGAACTCCAGAGACGGTCCCAGGGTTTAGGGCCAGTTTAGGGTTTGGGGTTTAGGATTTAAGGTTTGGGGTCTGGGGTTTAGGATTTAGGGTTTAGGGTTTGGGGTTTAGGGTTTAAGGTTTGGGGTTTAGGATTTAGGGTTTGGGGGTAAAGTTCTCTTAAAGGGATTTTAAGAGTTCCGTTAAGGGTTCCTTAAAGTTCCTTAGGTCCTTTAAGGGATCCTTCAAGGGGTCATTTAAGGGACTTTAAGGGTTCCTTCCAAAGATGCCAAAGATTTGCTTTATGGGTTCCTTTAAGGATCTTTAAGGGTTTCTTCCAACGGATCCTGTAAGGGATCTTTTAAGGGCGCCTTTACGGGATCTTTAAGGGAACCCTTAAGGGACCCTGAAGAGAAAAGAGTTCCTTCGAAAGGTTCCTTGCTCCGTTGAAGGGCATTATTCGGTTCCTTTAAGGGGCTTTTGTGGCGCTTCTGCAGGGATGCGCAGGGTTATCAACGGTTTTGGAAGTGCCCGGGCTTTTGCCCTGTCTAGTCTAGGATTCTTGGGATTCGTAAGTAGGGGGGATGCTTATAAGGATGCCAAGGTGGATGCAGGGCTTGGGGCGTTCGGGGCCCTACGGTTTCAGGGTTCAAAGGCAATTTGTGGGACGTAGCTGTGTTATAGTATACATTTGTGCGGGCCACAGGAGGATATCATTTCTAGTTGTGAGCTATTCACACCCTAAATCTGTCTTTTTGGATTTGGCCTTGCTGAGCAGCCCCTTGGTTCGTTTACATAAGACAACATCTGCCAACCAAGGAATGGCCGCTCCTTGCCGAGCCCGGTCTGGATTCAACAGCCTGTCTCCATACTCATTGATGTCAGCTGGTTGTTAACATCTGCTGGTGAACGTGCTTGTGCTGCTTCCAGCAACAGCTGATCCAAACCAGCCCCATTTTTCACAGTTCTGCTTTCAGAACCTGTCCCAACATCAGCAATCGAAAGGTCAAGATTGAGCACCGAGAGAAGGGATCGTCGTGAGATGTCCCCGATACTTTCAGCGATGGACCCCAATAATCTGGCGAGATGATTGATGAGCTCGGCAGTCGAGTGAGAAGACCCAGCGATTTGCACATGATGAGAGCAGCAAACTCGAAAGACCACCGAATCTGAACAGATGTACGTGTCGTGGTTGACATCGTCGGAGTCCACCATTCCGGGTGGCGAAAGTAGCCCGACAAAAATGGCCCCTGGAAATCTGCTGGCTGGCGAAAGCAAAAGACAGTTCTGCATTCAGTCAGGTCGGTTTCCTGTGGGGTTGTGGCTTTGGGATGCTTTGGGATTCTGACCCACCCCCACCCCTCAATGTCAACTTCATGAACGCCTAAAGTCCTAAACTCCTCGGGCCAGACCCCCTGTCTCAATTCCCCAAACTCCAAAACCTATTCCCCAGCATGCAGGCCTCGAACCATCTAAACTGAAACGCCAAGACTCTGAACACTAAACCCAAGCCACAGACCCTAAATCCCTCGACCCAAGCCTCAGTGACTTAGTGGCGGTAAATGCCAAAAGCGCTTGTAGCAACTCTCAAACGAAACCCCACCTTTAAGGCAAACCGCAAATCTTGAACCCTAAACCCCTTTAAGGAAGCCTTCCAATTTAAGGTAGCCGGTATCGCATCCCTGCAAAGAACCCAGAAGCATCAAACCCACTCAAAGCAACCAGCCAAAAAATAAACCCTACACCTTAAACCCAAACCCTTGTAAGCCCCAAACCCTAAACCCTTAAAGGAGCCCCTAAAGCAGCCTTTAGAGTAAACCCATACAGGAGCCCGTAAAAGGAGCCCTTTAACGGAGCCTTTACAGGCATCCTTCGACGAACCCCTCAAAGGAAGCAGCCAATCAAGCGCCGGCCTTCCGAGACTGGCCGTGGCTCTGAACCTAAGGCCGGCTTGCTCCGAAAGGGAACCCTTAGAGGAACCCTTCAAGGACACACCTTAAATGCCCTGTAAAGGAAGGACACACCTTAAAGGAATGCGTCAAGGAGCCCTATGAAGGAAGGACATGCCATAAAGCAACCCTTAAAGGAGCCCTATAAAGGAAGGACACACCTTAAAGGAGCCCTTCAAGGATACCTATAAAGGGGCTCCTTCGGTTTGGCCTCTGGAGCTTAGGGTTTAGGGTTTAGGGGTTTAGGGTTTAGGGTTTAGGGTATAAATGGGTGGTTGTCAAAATTAATATGGTCCCTTTTGGGGTCCTTACTATAATACGGCACCTAACATTTAGGGTACCCAAAAGGGGGCCATAATTTTGACAACCACCCAAAATATTCTAATGTGGCTTTTGGGAGATAATGTTTATAAAGAAAGAGGAACCCCAATAATAATGTTGGCTCTTATTTCGGCTTCTAGAGTCGCTGTAATTGCTAGGCCAAGGTTATGACGTAGGGCTTATACTCAGACTGATGAGCACTTGTAGGGTGCTGTGTGGTCCTATGGGGCTTTAAAGGATTTGCAAGTGCTCTGGATTTCTGGGATTGTAAGTGTTTAGCAATCAACGCTTTTGTAAGCCTTGAAACGAAACGTGCAACCGACACCATACGCCTCACCTGATCCCAAGAACCCAAATCCCGAAACCCTGACAACCCAAAAGTAGACACGAAACCCCGAAATCCCAAACTAAAAGCACCGGACCCCCTAGCCTGTAAAGCGCAGCGCAGCATAGCTTAATGCCAAGTGTCCACCAAGGCAAGCAGTACCGCAAGCCCAGCGAGGCAACCGTCCTGGCTGTTTTGGGGCTGCGTGTTTATTATTGAAATTGAAGGCGTGAGAGTGACTGAAAGGGTCAGATCTAGCCTACCGTCGCCACCAAATCAACGACAAAAACAGCAACAACAGACCATGGCTCGCAAGAAAAACGGAAACGGATCAGAAGAAGGACGACTGGACGAGAAGAATCCTGAATATGGCGCACCCCAGGAGAACAACTAATAACCGACGACCCATACTACGTCGCAACAGTGTCGATAATACCAACACTGCCACAGCCCAACAGCCCTTATCCTAAACCCCAAATCCAACCACCCAATACCGAATACCAAATTCTGCAAACCTTAAAACCGCAAACCACGTCCCCGAAACCGCAGATGTCCTCAACTCCTGCCCAAATCAACCGACGACCCCAATACCTACAGTCTGCACTGTAGTTCTCCTTTTGGGGTTACCTTATAGGATCCTGATTCTATATCTGGTTAAGCAAAAATTAAACCCTAAACCCCTAAACCCGTAAAAAAGAGAACTACAATGAAGACTAGAAGTAAGGCTCAGATCTATGGAGCCGTCACTCACTGCTGTGCCTTTCGCAGGTGCGGGGAGCCCTTTATACTGTTATAAACCCTGCATTACCTTAAGGACCCTAAACTATGGGAAATATGGTATATTCCTTATTATGGGTACTGCAGTCATCTTGCGTGTATACATGGGTCCTTACGGCGGAGAGTGGATAGTCATCCACTGCAGGACTATTTCGGTGCTATGCGAGGTTGCCGAGAATCCGAAAGCACCAGTATGGATCCTGTCTAGTAAAGATCTCCACAGACTTCAGGCACCGGTGTTAGTTGGGTTTGAGGCTTGGGTGAAGGGCTTTGAGGCTTGAGGATCTAGTACCTCACCTGTGCAGTTCTGTCACCAAACCCCACCATGAGGGAACTTACAGTATGAGCCCAACAGTTGGAAACCCAATTGCCTCAATCCTTAAGAGTCAAGTACAAGGAATCCCAGCACTAACTGTCCTTAATCCGGCTTCCTTTGAAAAGGGTTTACTATATGTTCTAACGATCTAGGATCCGAAAAGCTCCCCGGGTAAGGCTTCGCCAGTGAAGCTCGTTGCTACACTGCGGCTCCATGTATTCCGGTCGTACCTGGGCCGCCCCAGCACGGATTCAAGCACACCAGTTGCGGGGCGGTTTACGGCATAAGTTTGGGATTTCGGGAGGCATACCCATAGGCGCCACAGTACATAAGTCATGGTTCCTTTTGGGATTACCTTATAGGCTTGCAAGATTCTGTATATGAAACCCCCAACAGGAACTACAATGGAGCCTATGGGTAAGACACATCGTGTCTAAAGTTGAATGAGGTATGATTTCCGAGAGCAGGATTTCAAACAGACTGGATGGTTCCGAGACATTACATTTGGACAGGGATCTTTACCCAAGGGCCGTAACTTAAGGGAATTTGGCGTCTATCGGAAGGGCATGCAGGCGTACCGCCCCACGCCATCACCTTCTTCACGGTCAGCCGGAGGCTGTAACAAATCATTGGGTTTAGGGTTTAGTGATTAGGCTGTTGGGTTCATGGTCTAGCAGGGTTGTGGGTGCAAGGCTTAAGCGGGTGGGATATAGGGTTGGGTATGACTCCAATGCTCGAAAGCCACGCTGGAGCCAGCTCCCCCGATCTCGCATGTTTCTGCGAACAGGAGCCAAGGCATCTGAGACTTTAGCAGTTCAGGGCTTATAGGGTTTACCCAAAGGCCCCAAACTAGTTCCCTTTTTGGGATTACCTCCTAGGATTCTAGGATTCTATATACGAACCCCCAAAAGGAACTACTTTGGGGCCTTAGGGCAGTTTAGGGCTCAAGTCCACACTCCCTTCCTCAAGGACCAAATGTCCCTTAAAAGTAGGGCCCCATTACTATGAACCCCTATATGGTATATGAACCTTAAACCCTTTTATGGCTCATTCCGTCTTTAAGGTTTGTGACAACCGATGCATGTCGAAGTCTCTGGCACTGAGGTCAGGGCAACATAAAGGTCGGCCCAGCCATCTACCTGCAAAAGGCTCTTCTCAGGGCGTTTCTGCAGCTTGCCTATCTATGCAGTCGATAGGTTGGACTGATGAATCCTGCTTGTGAGTGTCTATCTACCTATCGACCTCTCTATCTATCTATCTAATCCTATTTAGGTCCGGGTATAATGTTCTTATCTATTTATCTATCTACTTACATACACAATACTGGTAGACAGACAGATGGTAAAGTCGTCAGATCTCGACACTACCGTGATATAGGGGCCATAATTAGAATAGGATTTTGGGGCCCACTATACTGTATTTATAGTAAGGAACCTTTGTTTAACAAAAAACAGCATAGGTAATTATTAAATAAAGCAACTTAACTATTTTGCTTTCGAAGAAAGATACGGCGCTAGCTCCAACACTCGGCCGTCCTCGGCGATTGCCGCCGCAACCTTCTCCTGGCGCCATGTCCGTCTCGGGGTCGGGGCGAAGTGTGCAAAGGATTATAGGGAATAGGGTTTGGGGGCTTCCTTTTTGTAACTTCGTAATAATACACAACAAACCCGGCCTATTCTAATTATTGAGGCCCCCTATAACTTGCCCGCTACATTCTAGGATTTGGTGCCAAGCTGCAAAACCTCCCGTACATGCCTATCGCCATTCGGCGTTTCTGAAACCTCAACCCCGAGCTCTCAATCAAGGGTTTCTTAATGGGATCTTTCGATCACAAAGATGGGGGCGAGAAAACCCTAAACCCTAGAGGAATGATGTAGGGGCCTTAACAATTAGAATAGGGCTTTGGGGGTTCCTTATTATAACTATAGCATAGTATCCCCCCAAACCCTATTCTACTTATTAACGCCCCTATATGAAGACGAGCAAGGCGAAGCAACAACTCATGTCTGGTGTCACGTTAGTATCATTCCAACCGGTGTAAAGATCACTCAACCTACTTCGTTGTAGCCGGGCTTTTCGAGCAGAATCATTAAACTCAGTCGTTTTGCTCTGCCTTCTTGGGACGGTCGGGCAGGCGTCGCAAATGCTCCTGCGAATCGAGTGGAAGGATTCCTTGCTGATCTCATGTCCGCATAAAGGCTTTACAGGGAGTTCATGGGTGGTATACGGGTTTTAGCGCGTTTTAGAAGTGGTTTGGTGGCTTATCCGGTGTTTATAGACTTTAGCATCCCTTCCTTGAAGGTGTTGTTAAGGAGTGTCTATAGAGCTGAAGCATGCCCATCATTGTTTATTGAGTTTTCCAGCAGCAGGGATTTTCGAGTCTCTTGGTTGTGGCTTCCATGAACGTTCGACGTCCGACCTTTCAACCGCAAGCAGTTTCCAAATCAGTGGTTGAGGGCTTGTAGGCTCCTTAGGGTGCTAGCCATACCCTCAGGGCCCACATGCCTAATCCTAATCGTCATCTTCTCTTGCAAATATACTAACTAACCTATATACATCTTTAGTTAATTTATACCCCAAATGCAAAAACCTTATTGGGTACTTGGGACCCTTAGGAGTATGATTGCTTCATGCACCAGCACCGACGAACACACATGACACATAGAGAAGATGCGCCTCTGGGTGCAACTTTGACGGCCCAGCGAGTACACCCAAAACCCTGAGCACTAGAGACGGCCTGGACCCTACAGAATATAGGTTTTGAGGGCTACAGCCCCTCTAATTCAAAGCCAAAAGGGCCGCAACCGAAACAGCCAAAATGCCTGGCTCAGAGTTTAGAGCTTAGGTTTTAAAGGCTTATCACACCCTAAGCCCCAAATCTCAGAACCCTACACCCCAGACAGCCGGAATTGCACTGGATCGTTTTGGTGGCCTCAACGGGCTCCACCGACAAGCCCCGGACGTCAACATCCTGTGGCGTTCGGCTTCAAGCTTGACCCTAAAGGTGCATGTACCTGTGCAGCATATGCTTGCCACTTTCGAATAACTTTTCAGCAAGCCCTGCAAGGCCAGAGTATCTGCTACAAAGGTGCGCGCACCCGCTTAGTAGTTAAAGCCAAAAGGCCCCTGATAAAACTCTATGAAACCACTTACAGGACAAGAACCCCAATGTGGACACATGGACCCTCGTGGTGAGCTAGGATGTGCTTTTCAAGCCTTTGAAAGATATGAGTAGGTACGATCCTTTTAAGCCCAATAAGAGCAAGTATAAACTGTCCCAAAGCCCTACCTAGGATGTGAATGCTGTGCCTTTACTTCGCCTTTAAGGTTGGGGTGCGTCATCTTGATGGCTTGATGTTAGGGCTCCAAAAAAGCACATCAGCAGAAGTAAGGATAGAGATATCCCATATAACCCGCCTTATAATGAAGCCCAAGAAGGTAGGGATATCCCCATAAAGTGCTTATGCCTATGTGCTTTTGGGGTCCCTAAGATGTGGGCTTGAGGGTTTCGGACGCTGCGTTTAGGGTTGACTGTCATATGAAACTTGAAATAGGAGAGGGAGCATAAGAAAGGTGCCATAACAAACCCGCTGCGAGCGCGTTTTTTACGAGGTCCCACCCGGTCGCACCCATCACCAATGGGTGACGGTACTAATTGCAGCAGTAGCAGTAGCAGAAGTAGCAGCAGCAGCAGTAGCAGTAGGAGCAGTACAGTAGTAGTAGCAGGAGGAGGAGCAGTAGCTGATGCTCGATAAGGGTTGCCCCTAAACCCTAAACCGATAAGGGTTGCCAAATCGGGAAGAGCACGTAAAGTCCGAAGCGAAGGATCCCTCGTAACAAACACGGTCGCGCCCGGTCGCACGCGAACCCCATACACGGAAGTTTCCGAAAATAAGGGATCCTCATTTGGGGGTCCGTATAATAAGGATCCTACTATTTAGGGTACTCCATTAGGGTCCCCCATTTTCGGAAACTCATACACCTGTCCCCGAATTATCAACGGATTCCGGACCTCGACGAAAAGTGGTTGCGACCAGGTGCAACCTCGTAAACAACAAAGTCGCACCTGGTCGCACCCGAAACCCAAACACCTTTCCCGGAAGTAGCGACCCATTCGACGACACGCTCAAAACCCTTTCTCCCAAATACCGGCGAATTCCGGAGTTCCAACAAGCGTGGGTGCGACCGGGTGCGACCTGATAAAAAGCACGCTCGCGCCCGGTCGTACCCGAACCCCATACACCTGTCCCCGAACTACAGACGAATCGATGGCTGCGACCGTGGAATCGGCTCAATGATCATGCGCATGGGTGGATACAATGATTCGAACGACTGCTTCTTGTTGAAAGGCCCTAATATGATTTTCGTGATTTTCAGGAACCCCCCCCCCCCCCCAATTCAGACATCTTTTTGTGGTCGGGCATATCAAAACAGATGATCCTCGACCACAAAAGCCCTTCTTTCTCTGCTCAATCGGACAATAACCTAGCACCCTGTACTACTATTTGCTTAAGAAACCACCAAAAAATAAAAATAATCATCCCTATATTACCCCATTTTTTTTTAATTTTTTTGGGAGTTCTTAAGCAAATAGTAGTGTACCCTAGGCCCGGAAGGGCCCCAAACCAAACAGAGAGGGAAACAGTGCAGGCACCCGAGTCTCTGTTTTGAAGCCCTGTTTAAAACCAAACCAAAACCCTAAACCCTAAACCCTAAACCCTAAACCCCTTAACCGAACCCTGGACCCAAAATACCCCAAACGGCCCTGAGCCCCAAACTCGCCCCAAGCCCTACACTACATGGCTCTAAACCCTATTCAGCTGCAGAGAAGAGTTCACCAAGCCCGTAAAGAAACCGAACAAGCCAAACAAACCTAGACCTTCATGCATGAAACTGCCTGTAGACGCTGCGCTAACGTGTCGAAGTCGGCCGTGCCAATCTCGACATAGTCCTCGTGCTATGATGCTGCGGAGTTCTTCGGTTTAGGCTCCCTCCGATGGCAGTTAAACCGAAAAGCTCTAACCCAGTGACGGTCACTCCAACCCCAAATCGTCAACCTGGAAACCCACCTATATAGGGTGTAGCGTTTAGCCCACATGGATTTTATTTGTCAGGTGTTCTGGGCTGTTTTCAAAGCTCTTTCGGATTTATGCATTCTTCGAACTAAACCAGAACGCAAACATACCAAGTATCTAGCGTTATTCCTTCTTCGAACTAAGACATATTACTGAGGGCCGAGGAGCTGTTTGCAAGAATGGCCTGGTCACGAGCCTCCAACAATGCCTGTGCTACTGGGCGTTCCGAGACTCAAGGCTGTTGTCCTTCAGGGTTCAAGGTTTAGGGTTCATTTTTGCAGCTTGAGTTGCAGTCGCTGGCGCTGTAGGGTATGTAACGGTAGGCAGATGGATACGTGGTCCGTTCACGACACCAATCTAGGAACCTCTTCAATGTCAACATTTACTGTATCGCTGCATAGAAGCCATTACTGGAACCCTTGGCGCACAATGAAGCCTTTAATGGAAGCCTGAAGGCACATGAACCCGTTGGGACAACTATATATCCTGTGCATGCAATATTGCAGCTCCAAACAATATGCTCGAGGATCGGAATGAGCATCTTTTGACTCTCATGGACCGTACAAGCATCCTGCACTGCGCAGAGCAGCCAGATGCCCTGCCGAGCAGCCTTCGGCTTGAACAAGGTCAGCTGAAGAAAAAATCCTGTGACCTTGTCCTTAGGGTCCTTCCCCAATGTCAGCTCGTCCCCATATATGGTGAATGGAACCATGCAGTCCAGGTCGTTCGCAGCAGCAGGAAAGTTGTATACAAAGGGGTTCCCATTCTCGCGTAGATGCTTCCAGTAAGCACGGACTTTGTCCCTTGGACATTCAAGCTTACATTCATGAACCCTACAGCACCTTGCAAAACCAGCTCCTCTAATGGAGCCCTTGTTGCACATCAGCACTCTGATATCAGGCCGTTGATACACCTACTATAGGGGCTTGAATAATTAGAATAAGGTGTTGGGGCCCTTTATACTATCATGTCATGAGGAACCCCCAAAACAGCATTGGTAATTATTCAAGGCCCCTATATATGATGGGAAGCCAAAAGGGGGGGTTTAAGATTCTTAGGGTAGGGATTCCTTAATATGAACCCTATTATGGGAACACTACTGCCTTCTAAACCCCCATATGCTAAAACCCTTTTGCCTCCTATGAATATAAAGAGCCTTGGGATTTCGTAAGGCCCTGGCGAAAGCCTCACCACGGCCTCGGAGCACAGCCAGTGGCAGCAACCTGGATTCTTGAGGGTTCCCTAAGGGTCCAAAGAACCCAATAATTGGGTACTTAGGTTTAGGATAGTAGTTATGTAGGTTACTATTTGGGAGGGTATATGATAATTAGATACTTGGACCCTTAGGGTTTTAGTAAGATCTTGAAAGGATTTCAATGGGGCCCTTCCAGAGTATCATATTGGTGGTTGTCAAAATTATGGTCCATTTGGGGGTGCCCCAACTATTAGCTGCCGTGTTATAATAGGGACAAAAAAAGGTACCACAATTTTGACAACCACCCATACGGGGTTTAGACATATGGGTTTAGAGCTTTGAGTTCACGACTTAAGGCTTCAGGGTTGTGGGGTTCAAGGTTTGAGTAGGGTTTAGGAATGGGGCTGGGGTCTAGAGCTTATACAGGTTTGGGTCCAAAGCTCGGACAAGCTAGTGGGAACAAAGCCTCTGTCTCAACGCTTGCAATGAAACCCTAAACGGCCCTAAACCATAAGCCCCTTAATGCCAAAGGGCTCGATCAATTTCTCTGGGGAATGGAACCCTTTATCCTAAACCTTCAACTGTAAATCCTAAACCCATGCCTGCTGAGTTCCCTGAACACTGAATCTGCCCATACGATTTGTCATGCGTGCCTTTTTGGAGAAAGCTGCTGTGTTGAAGATTTGGCACCGCCGTATACTATGTTGCGGGTTCCTTGTCATAATTGTAGCATAATGGGCCCCCAAACCCTACTCTTATTATTAAGGCCCCTCTATTATTATGTCTGTGTGCTGTTGACAACCCTAAACCCTAAACCCGTAAACCCCAACCCCTCGGCGGCGATATGCAGGGTGATCCCACGTCCCAGTAGTTCGGCCCATGAGGCGATAACTAACAGAGCCAAAGAACTGCAGAGTTGGGCTTAGGGTTTAGGAGTTTTGAGGGTTAGGAGTTAAGAGTTTTGGGGTTTAGGGGTTAGGGAGTTTTGGGGGTTATGGGGTCAGGGGGTTTAGGGGTTTAGGGGTTCAGGGGCTTAGGGTTCAGGGGTTTAGGAGTTTTGGGGTTTAGGGGTTAGGGGTTAAGGGTTTAAAGGTTACGGTTTAAGGGTTTAGTTTAGATCATCACGTGTAATTGGCCTTCGAAGTTCTTCTGTTCGCGGCGTGGACAAGCAGCCGTGCTTCCATATCAGCTCTCGGGCCGCGGATCCTATGATGAGGAACCCTAAACCCTAAACCCTATTAGCTTGAAGTCGACTTTGATGAAGTATCCCGCTTGGACTGCCATGGTTTCCATGGCCCTGCTCTCTCAAAATGCTGCGAGGTCATGAAGCTCAAGAATGCCTAGGGTTAGGGTTCCTTTCAGGGTCTTTGAGGGATATGCCTTAAAGAGGAATGCCTCGGGTTAGGGCTCCTTTAAGGGATCCTTCAAGGGATCTATTGGAGATTCTACATCCCCCAGCTGACGTCTTAGATTCTTCACCCTCCCCCTGCTTGCGAGCCTTATTGCTATTGCATGAGCCTACACCGACGCGAAGAATTTCAGTCGCAGACACTTCTTCAACGTTGCCCCAAACTACCACAAGTTAAGCAATTTCGGAAGACGGCAAACTTACAATGCAAGGCCCCAACTTCCAGTGGGACGCCTTAGTACCTAGGGTGTATGGCGTCGCGCTTAAAGCTAATTTCAAGGGTTGGGGTCTTACGCCGGATTAGAACACCTCAGACCCATCTTTGACGAAGTCTTTCATGCAGAACCGTTGGCGCAAAAGGCCCCAAACCCTCTGCCAAGTCTCGCACACCTTTCGCATCGCCCCAGCTGGTGTGCCGGCATGGCGTGACGGTGACGATGTGCGCTTTGTCTGTGTAGGGTTTAGGGCTTATAGTAAATAGGGTTCAAGGTCTTAGGGTTTGGGGGTTTTGGTTTCAGGGTTTGAAGCGTTTTCTGCTTCTGAGCTGGGGCTAGGCTTGAAGCCACGGCTTAGGGAAAATTGGTCTAGGGGTCTAGGCCTTAGGATTAGAGTGTTCAGGATAATTGTGGCTAGGAAGTTTTGCTTTCGGACATTTGCTCATCTGGTAAATTTCTAACGACTTTCTCCCTGACATATTATACTATAGTTATAATAAGGAACCCACGAAATAGTATAGGTAGTTTTCTAGGCAGGCCCCTATGATACTTCAATGATATAAGAGTAAAAAGAACCTTTTTCAGGCCAAGGCTTTTGCTTTGTGGGTACATGGGCCCTTCAGGGTGGTTGAGGGTTCTACCATAGGGTCCTCTTTAAATAGGGTTCTATAAGTAGGGTCCTTTTAGGGTTCCTATAAAGGTTCTATAAATAGGGTTCCTTTAAGGGTTCTATAATTGGGTCTCCATTAAGGTAGGCAGGTCGAACCTCACGGCTCAAATCGCCAAGGGTCTTTGCGAGCTTGAGCCAGGCGGTTGTGCATGCAGAAGAAGTTGGGGCTCTAGGTTTATATTTAGGGTTTGGGGGTCAGCATGCCTTACAGCCAAAGCCACAAGATTCAAAATCCATAAGCCAAAAAAACCCTGTACTTTGAGACCGAAACCTCAATCCTAAAGCCATCAACCTTGAAGCCTCAACCCTAAATTAATCCCACAGCCAGACCTCCAAGAGGATCCAGAAAGCAGATCCCTTAATTTGGGGTCCTATACAACTAAGGGTACTTTAAAGTGGATCCTCCCGGGGGTCTGCGAAAGCAGATCCGGATCCTGAAACCCCATGTTCACCTACAAAAACAACCCTATTTCTGGAGAACTACTGTTGATGATATAAATCCTGCATTACCTTAAGAAGCCGAAACTATGGGAATTATGGTATATTCCTAATTATGGGTACAGTAATGCAGGATTTATACCATCAACCGTACCCATATGTTCCGGAAGGCTCCAGGACCGACGGCCCAAAGATCCACATCCTGAACTTTGCGATGCTTTTCCCTGCTTAGCGCAACCAATGGATTAGGACTTTGGGGGTTTAATGTGTAGGGCTTTCAGGGTTCTTTTTTTTTATGGGCCCTTTTCCGTCTGCATGAGCGTCCGAAATTCCATAGGTGGAGGAGCCAGGTGCCCGAATCTCTGGTACAGCACAGTGCTTAACCCACTTAACACCTGAAGGAGTACACCACTAGTTACCAGGTCGGGCAGGTCGCGAGCCACGGGTCATCTGTGCACACCCGGGCTATCACAGCATCCGTGACATTATCAGCATAGCACCCCGTAAACCACTAATGCATAACTTCCCTCACGGCATTGCTGTCGCATGATACCTCTGTACATATGCAGAGGTGGGTAACTCTGTGCGCGATCAAGCACTTGAATGACGGCGACAGCCATGGACCTGCGGTTAGACCAAGCTCGATACTTACTCTACCTACAGGAAGGCCCAGTCCTTTGGCTTGCACCGCTCGTTTGTGCTACATGGCTGCAATGTGAGCATTATTAGTCGTTCCTGTCACTCGAAGAGGGGCTGCTGCGTGTCACTCTACGTCTGCCACTACTTTGTTGAAAAGTCGATCGGCGCTTGATATTGACAATCGCCTTGCAGGCCTTGCGGATCTTCTTGTCGTCAAATGGTGGATCAATTTCCTTGTCATCAACGGCGATTGCCAGCTTGTCCGCGACTTTCGATGTTGCTGAGACGACAGTCCTGTGGATCTCGGAGTTGACACGCGAAAATGGATTCTTCTTGAACAAAGGACTTATGAGTTTGCCAATGCGATCAAGAAGCCCTTCCTCAACGTACTTCGTCATCTGCGGATATGTCGTCATAGAGCGCACGATGCCTGAGGCATGGATGTTCGATGGCTTCACCCTGTACTCATCGCAGATGATCGAGAAGAGCCAGAGTGCCAGGACGAAAATTGGCGACATCTCTTCAGCCTCCTCGGGTGACTCTGAGGACGCAGATGCATCCCTACGCCGCCGCCTATCGCGTGCTTCTCGCCCTCGGGATCCGGAACGCCTGGTCCTTTCTTCTCGACTGCGACTCGAGGAGCGCCTTCCCCTGCTACGCTCGTATTGCCCCGTGGATCCTGTCAGCATGTCAAACAAAGATCCGGAGCTCTTGCTTGGCTTCTCGTCAGAGCCATCTGACGAACTGTCACGCGATCCATCATGCTTCTTGTCATCCTTTCCACGTCGTCGGCTGCTAGATCTCTTGCGGTCTTTGCCCTCCTCGGATGAGTCACTATCGTCACTGTCGGAGCCTTTCTTCGACGACTTTTTCTCCTTTTTATCCTTCGATCTGCTCGAACTGGACGCCTCTGGTTCCTTTTTCTCCGAACTGTCTTTGGACCCCTTCCTTGCTCTTGATGAAGATCGTGAGCGCCTTCCGTCATCCTCATGCTCATCATCCTCCTCCTTGATGCCAACAATTCGAAGTCCCTTCGGGGTCTTTGCGAACAACTTCTTGATCTTCATTCTCTGGCTTTCCGTACATATCAGCTCCCATGTTGCGAGTAGTCTCCAAGATCTTGTTGAAGACCCTTTGGCTCCCATCTGCGTCGATCACTGCTAAGAGCGAAGGCACAACGGACCGCTCAATCGACGAGGTTGCTGATGCCAAAGAATCATCACCATCGCTCTCCTCCTTTGACTCCTTCCCCTTCTTCTTTCGCGCGCTCTTTCCAATGTCCTTAACGCCGCTCCCTGATTTGATTGAATCGCTCGAAGATGACGATCGCGAGTCGGAGGTGCTTCGTCCATCATCTCCACTCGAATCCTCCTTGGCGCCTTCCCGGCCTCGAGGGCTGGTCTTCGGCGTCTTCTTGCGACTTGAATCTTTCGACTCCTTGTCTGCATCCTCAGTCTTGGAGCTTGTGCTCTTTGAGCCCTTCTTGCGACTCTTCTTTGGGTCACTCTCATCTTCGTCACTATCCTCCTTAGAGCTTTCGCCCTTGCCGTCACGATCCTTTTTTTGCTTTTTTGTCTTTTGCCGAAGAGCTGTCCCCTTTTCCGCTTCTGGGCTTGTGAGGATCATCCTTCTCATCGTCGGAATGCTCCGAATCGCTCGCCTTCTTGCTCTTTTTGCTCTTCTTACTCTTCCTTGAGCTTGAACTTGTCCGTTCAGACTTCTCAGTCGACGTCAACTTTGGAAGACCCAGTGCCAGGTCCTCTTCCTTGATGGCTCGAGCAATGGCAATTCCTTTCGATCCTAGCTTGTTCTGAAGCCTAGACCAGTCGACTTTGTACTTCTGTGTCTCGGACTTGCTGAGATCGTTCTCGGAGAACATGAAGGCTGGGATTCCAGAGTCGATCGCCTTCTGCCGAGTTCCGGGGGTCACCACCAGGGGATCGAGATCTTGGGAGTAGATGAGGTATCCCTTCGGCGCCATGTTCAATGCAGGAACGTGTCGATGCAATGCCAAATGGTCAAGGATTTGAAGCACTTGAGCCAAAGAGGGTTCAGGAGTTAGGGGTTTAGGGGTCAAAGGTATGGGATTTTCTACTGCAGCCGGTTTAAGGTTTGGCAGGATTAGTGACAAGCCCTAAGCCCAAACAAACAATAGATGGCACCCTTTTCGAACCCCAGAAAAATTCTACAGAAGCCTAAGTGACCCTGGTGGAACCTGCCTCCGATGGTTTGTGTAGGTGTTAGGGTTACAGCAGCGGCTGTAGGTTTAAGGCCTGTGTTCAAGGTTTGGTGATTGCGTTTGTGGTTTTAGAGCTTAGGTCCTTGTGTGGGTCTCTCGGGAGTGATGCCTCAGGTGTGCGTCAGCATGCAGTCCTCTGCAGCTCCGACCAGACACAAACCCGTTGAACTAGGCAGGTCCTCGTAGCGACCAATGAATCCACGATGCAAAGCAACGACCCCACATAATTCTCATGTTTCACTATACCTGGGTACGTCCAGGTCGACACTACCCCCCTTCCCGAAGTCTCGCCCGCGGTCTCTGCAGCCTTTCTCAACATCATCGAGGTTTCTTGTCAAGTTTCGCCCAAGCCCGCAGCGTCCCACGGTCGGGACCGGATGCACCTGGGTGCTGAAACGAAACAGGCACACAGACACAACAAAAACAAACTAATAAAACGGCACAAACATCAAAACAGCATTGCTAGACTTGGCGGCTATGAGTGGGGACAAACAAAAGATCCCCAGTGGCACGATTCAGCTCAGCGATACCAACCAGAGACCTATAGCCTATAGCTCTTCCAAACCAAACAAGACATGCCCCACAGACCCGTTGTCTAGTCCATATCTCTGCATTAAAGGTCTGCACCAAAACACGACCCGTCGATGGCAGAGGCCCGTTTACAAGTGCTTAAAGCGGTCAATTATTTCTGGGGGTTCAACCATGTGAGAGCATACAAATCCCAGATCCGACAGGCAACCATACCCCACCGAAAACCCTAAACCCTAAACCTTACACCCTACATCGTTTCCCGACAGCCACATGTGCAGACACTGTCCTTCGAACCTTGCCTGACAAAAGAACCATATGTCAGGAAACTACCTCTTAAGACACCCAAAAAAGCCGGGGGGACGGTGCCAGGTTGCTGGCACTAGCTACTTAACCGGACGGGTAAGGGGACTTAGCAAGCAGGGCTATATCTAGGGTAGCTATCGTATACAGCTACTTATAGCCCCAATTATGCTACTTACAACTTAAAACCCTACTTGGCAATTTTCCTGAACCTCTAAGAAAACCCACTAGCCTTCCTGAGCACTTGACAGTAGAATAGCGCTTGAGGCTCTTGATTACCTAATGGTTGTACCAGACTATGATCTAGTCTACGACTATACTGTACATAACCTAAGATATTGTACTACAATCCACTATACTATGCTGT